GTACACATACAAAACGAAAATATGTTTATTTGGATGTCCTAAGGGCCTATTCTGCAAGTCAGCCTCCTGCCCGCAGACACACAACCTTACTTAGTCCATGGGCCTAGAGTCCGCAGCTGCTCTGTCTCTCCATGCCATCGCCTCTGCCACCGTCTCTGCTGTTACTACTTTTCTAAGTAGAACCTCACATTCCACTCATGCTCTTCCTTCTTGATGGTCCAGGAACTGTCTGTTCCTGAAATGGAAGATTAACTACTCCCTCCTTTTAGTTATATAACTTCTACAATTACAGTTGTGACCTTCACAATTATGCTAACCATTACTCACAATTGAATCATAAAATCCTGTCAGCATCTTGCCCCATCCCCTTTAACCAGCTCCATCTGGAGAAGAGGAAAACTATTCAGTGGGGATCCTACCTTACCCTCCTCATTCTGAAACTAAAAACTGAAATTAAAAACACTGCTGAAAGCTTGTAAGTCAGCCACTTTGTGCCCTTATGCCCCCCCATTTTTGATAGCCAGTGTCTAGTTTGCCCATCCCTATCAACCTAGGGCACTGAGGAAACAAGCTTCGTCCTTGGTACGAAGAATCCTTCCATTCTGTTTGGAATTTTGAGCAACTGCATCCATAAGCAAAGGTCCAGTTCATCAAATTGTAACAATTTACACATGCTCACAGTATCAAGCACCTTTGTCTTCATCTGATTGACTTATGGTCAGCTAGACAGCCAAGCTAGGTCAAATGGGTACTAGCTGCAAGTTTGGAAGTTCACACATACCTCTCTGCACTTCAGACCAACTGACCACTTAAGTCTGAGCTCCCAGTGGCTAGGTCAGTGCCCATAGGCTAGGGAGTTCATGCATCTCCCTTAACTTCAGACTAGCCAGTCTTTCTCTTCTCTTTCTCTTCTCAAGGTCAATGGAACATGGCCAAACTTAGTCCATGTAGCAACTTCATTGCTACGTTTCCCCCACTTCCACTCAGGAGTAGACCAGGGTGGTCATCAATGAGCATGTAGATGACTAGAGGGTTGTTTTTAAGTTTCAGTCTTAGAAATGGGTTTTCCCTGATGGGCTGACTTTTCTTGCCTTGATGCCTCCAAGGTTACCAGCTTGCTTGATATTTCTAACAGCCAAACAACCGCTTCATTTCTGCAGGTTTTTCTTTTAATAAGATTCTTCTGTGCTCCCAGCAGTTCTGGGTTGATCTGCATGTCCTTTTTCAAATGGAAATGTAGTAACTCAGAAGGTTCTTGGTAGGGCTCCGGACTCCACCTAAGACCCCACATTATATAAAGGCTTATCAAGAA